AGCAGCTAGAACAAAAAGTTTTTCACTGTTAAATAGGGCATTGTTTACACTATATATACCGCTATTCAAAACAGAAAATTTCGTACCTACGATTTTTTCAGAAAATGCCGCCTAAATGCCCACTGTGTATCTACGGGTATTGCAAAACAAAATCGGTGATAGAGACAACAACAAGTATAATTTATTCGTTTGTACATCTAGTAGACCAATAGTATTCAAGGTTAGACCCTCTATAATGTACCCATGGGAAAATTTTAGTAGGTACCGCGGTGTGTACACGTGTGAATATCGTGAAATGAATTATGGTCGCACGTGAACATCGTAAAATGGTGTGTGAGCACGCGTGAAAAATATATTCCACTTGTGACAACGGGTGAACTGGTCACGAAAACGTTTCGCATCATATTTTGTGCACGTGATCACAGGTGAGAGTCGTGAAGTGTGTAGTGGTCACAAAAAATATCACTTGCGGACACGCGTGAAAATGTTTTCCACTAATTTCATTGTGAAAAATATCTTCACATTTATTCGCACGTCAGTTTTACACGCAACTCATTTCGTGAATAATATTCACGCTTAACCCCAAGCGACAAAATTCTTACGTTTCACGCGCGTTCACGTGAAAAACTTTTTACAGGTGCGAAATGTTGTGAAGATTGAGCGGCAAACATAAATACAAATTTCTCCTATGTCTTCCGAAGGTTGTACATACATACAGATGAAAACCTTTGCTGTAGACCGAAGGTATTTGCTGTAGGAATATGCCTGGGAATCATCTTGTTCCCCGGCAGGAAGTATTAACTAAAAAGGTTTGGAAAAGTTGGAAACTAGGAAAAAAGATTTAGGAAGTTCACGAGTAATCGCGCGTGGCAACTTTTTTACACGTGGTAACTCGTGAGGATTGATTCGACAACTATGAATATGAGATTTATTCAGTAGTTTCTCAGGCAAGTTAGCTCAATAGTAGTATCGTAGATTTCTAATTCAAAGTACCTGGTTCGACTCTTACTTTGCGGTGATATATATAAAATGCGATATTTTGAAACTAGTGGTCACTCGTGGAAAAAGTTATAGATGAAGTTGCATTGATGAAATCTGCATTATACCTTGACCATAGTGACCATGTATAGTCAGTTGACTATACATGGTCGGCCTGGTCAAGATTTTTTCACACGTAATCACGCGTGAAGATTGTTCACTTGTGTACACGTGTGAAGATTGTTCACTTGTGTACACGTGTGAAGATTTTTCACGCGTAGCCACGCGTGTGATGTTGCAACAACACGATCAAACTATCGCGAAACTTGCTGTCTTTACCTACAAATTTTCGTGAAAGTCCAAGCTGACATTTCACGGTCCCTCACGCGTGAAAAGTCGATAAAATTTCCTCATAGGTAGAGTAAAGACACGTAAAAAGTATAACTGCAATTCTGTATCAAAACTTTAGTGGCTTTTTGGCTTTTGTGTAACTTTTCGAGAAATGATGTGGTAATTGGGAGAAAAAGGTGCTCTAAAAATGTTCAGTGGATTGAGGGCTATCCATCCAGACTACGCTGTTGCTTCGTTTGGTCAGCTAAATTGTGAAAATTTCAGTGCACAAGTTAATTAGCACTTTCGGGCAACGTGAGATTTTGAAAGAAGCAGGAAAAGAACTAGCCATACAATGCAGTGAACATGTGCGTTATAAAGAGTTTTGTAGAGCAGACAATTTCCTATCTTCTGAAGTCAGGTTGAATTCTTGGAACTATACGGTATATGAGCAAAAATAGGTACATGAATAACCCCATCATTTCAGGATCATCCGTTGTTAGCGACAAAATGTTAGGAAAATTTTTATTTCTTAATGCGAATTAATGAAACGAAGATGAATTCTTTACGCCAAGTACCTGTGATGAATAGCTAACGGAAGTTTTATTAAATAATCAATTAGGTCGAGTAAGTTATTTCCAGTCCCTTCCGTTGCCATTCCTTATCTGTCCTCACTTTGCACTATTTTTTATAATAATGAAATAATATATCATGAAAGAAAATAATGGGTTTTGTAGAATAGAAAATTCTCTATGAAATGAGGTTAGAATGGAGTTTTCAAACTATAGTAAAGTACCCAAAAAAAAGAAAACAAAACAAAAGTGTCCGGACTTATCTGGCCCACCGGTTGTATAGATAATAATTTGTGATATTTGATTAAACAAGTGGTATGTCCACTTGCTGCTATGGATTTCGGTAACTAGAGATTTTACTAATATATACATTTCTCTATTATTTGTCTATTTAATGATCATATGTCAATAGAAACGGATGACTTGTTATTTTAATTTGCACTTCTTACTTATAAAATAAAACAGAAGATATTAGTCATGTTATGGCGTAGTAACCAGTGTTTGCGCATGTCTTTGCTAAATGAAAGTTATTATTATTTTATTTCTAAGTGAGAATTAATTGCTATAGACATTCTAATCGAAAAGTTCATTACTAATTAATTATATCTAGAATATTTAAATTTGTGAAGTCAAATTATCGTTCAAATCGTAAACATACCATTTCACTAAGATTTTACGTAAAATTATTGTCTGATCAATGAAAAATGAGATATTATCGTTGTTATTATTGAAGTCTAATTCTAGACCATATTTAAATGAAAAATCAAATTTTAAAAGTAGATTGAATAACTTCATAGTTTTTCGATTTTTAGAAAAAAATATATTTCGATTAAGACAAATCAATTTTGTTAAATGAGAAAAAATAATAAAAGTAGTGGTATTGAAATGATCTATTCATTGTTTAACTGCGGAAAACGTAATTTGTAAGTGTCACTGTACATACAGAATACAGTTTAGAAAAAAATGGTCATTTGAGAATGATAAATTTTATATGTGACAAGAGAACGAGAAAGTGTAATGATAAATAAACATAAATTTTTTACAAGATGACATAAAAAAATAAGCTTACTCTACTAGTTCTTTTCGCTATTTTTAGCGTATATTTTTCTACAAAAGGTTACTTGATATTTTTAGTTGTGGAATATGTTTAAATTATTAAAGTATTACCGTCTGCTGATCTTTCTTCATTTCTTTTATGAAAAAAAATTTGATGTTCAATAAAGTTTCGTATAGTTTTTTCACTATCCTAACGACAAAAAGATGTAAAACATTTAAGTAGTAAATTTTGTATAGAAAAAAAAACGTATATGTGTCTATGTGTCCCTCAAATTTAAATTATTAAATATACTTTTGTTTTTTTTTACTTTAAGTTAAATAACAAGAAAGAAAATCGAAATAATCCTACATAAATTTCACTCAATGTCAAGAGAAAACGTAGAACAGAAAATACGAGCTTTTCACTGATAATGAGAGACAAGAAAAATAGTTTAAAATAACGCGTTAGTTTATGATAAAAATGTTGGATATAAATCATTATCTAATGGATGAGTATCATCTAGAAATGGGGCTTTGCGTTCATTATGTGCATGATTTCGTTTATAGTATGCCTTTTCTCCTATATCAAACATTTGATTATCATCATCCTCATTAATATCATCTTCATCTTCATCTAAACTTAATTTTGATATTTCTTCATCACTATGATGATTTTTTTGTGCTGGTGTACAAAAACCATTTGTTGTTGTACGTTTTATTTGTGCACTTGTGGGTGGAGATGGAGCAGATGGACGTTTAATAGGTGATATAACTCGTTCACCTGGCGATGTATAAGTTGAACGTTGAATGATATTATTTGGACTTGTGGGAAAAACAAATGGTAAATCTTCATTAAGATCCATGATATTTACTAATGTTTTTTTTTGATGATGATTCGAATGTAAAGCAGGTAAACGATGCTGCTGTTGTTGAGTAGCGATATTTAAACTACGACGATGATGATGATTGTTGGTTGTTGTATGAGATTTTGGTGGTGTAGCAAAATGATAAAACATTTGTTTTGTTATGATTTTTCGTGGATGATGGTGATGTTTGGTGGAAAGAGTAGTATCATTCTCTGACGGTAATAAACTTGATTCTGTACGATAGAATGTACCATCTGTCGCTAGAATATCAGGAAGTGGAGGATATTTTTTGACTGGCACATCGCCAAGTTCAGGTGTCGTAGTAGCCGTTATCGGTGTAGCTGTTGTTATAAACGATTGTTCACGTACAATTTCTCGTATTTCATCTATTGTGGATTTTTCACGTTCAATATATTGTCGATGTGATGTGGCCGGCACTGTATGATTAGTGACGATTGTTGCCATATTGATCACGTATGTGTATAGATAATAGTTGACGATATATCACTGTATCAGTATACAATGTATTATTAAAAAAATATTTTATTTATTAGTATTGTGCAATCGTTTGTTACTCATACAGACATAATCTAAAAGTAAAAAAAAGAATAATCTATTTGAATAAAAACAAATAATACCATAAAAATGATTTTTTTTTAGCTTTCTTGACATGTATATTAAACTGTTATATCTTAAAATATTAACACTATATTGTTGAGTAGTTTGCCCGACCATTTAGCACTAAATTATTGATATAAGACTTCATTTTATAAAAATGAGTTTTGTTTAAAAATTATAGAAATAAGATATCAGATATATTAATGGTAGATAAAGTTTATGATTTACATTTTGAAAACTAAGAAATGTTAACCAGTGAAGGAAAAAGAAACGTGTGTCAGGTGTTTGTAATATCAAAACAAACAGTATTTTTATAATTGTGACTGAGAAGTTTATTAATGTACTTACTAATAGTTGTGATCTCTCGATCTTATTGATAAAGAAAACCACCTGTAAATGATAGGTTCAAAATGAGAGAAAAGACTTAAACGGAATTATTGGATTTTAATCGAAAAATTCATGTGTTAAATAAGAATAAAAATAAAAAAAAATGTTTGAATTTAAATAAAATAAAACGTCATCACTGTGCACACACATCAACAACGACGAAAGGTAAAAAGAGCAGTACATGATAAAACAAAGAGGAAACAAATAAATTTAAACATATTGTCTGTGCTTTATTTTTTCTCAATTTGTTGCATATGTAGCTATCGGGAGGTGTATATGTGTGTCTGTGTCTGTGTGATGTACTACTGAGGCAAAGAAGAAGTAAAACCAAGTGTTGGTAAAAGTAAATACGTAGAAACGTTTCCTATACTGTCTGTTATAATGAAACAGATCAACAATTATATAAGCTCTATCTCTTTATAGAATAGCGTTTATTTCTTGTATAAAAACAAAGTGAGATTTAAGATTAACGATTTTTAGTATAGAAGTGTATATTCTCCACTATTATTCTATACTAAGGATAATTTACTCTTAGATAATTGAAATCAGATGTATCATAACAGTTTCAAGTTGTCTTAGTGTAACAAATGCTAAATGACCTACCAGGTGACCATAGTTGATGTCATTTTCTTATTCGAGTATGATTGTAGAATGTTAACGTTTAGTCACCAAACCGTTTTGTGCCCTTCCCACTAAACATTGAAAGCAAAAAAAAAGTTTTTTAAAATAAAAATCGAATGAACTCTATTCGTCATTTTAGAAATTTTTTTTTTTTGAACAGTACTTTATACATTAATTATGAAATAAAAACAAAAAACGTGTTTAAAGAAAATTTTTCTCGTCTTTACAAAGTAGAGTATACCTTTTACTCTATGGTCATTGTTTTCATTTTCTTTCATTGTGATGTCAAGTGTTTTATATATGTGCACACAAACGAATTCTTACAGAATTTTGATTATTCTCTCCTCCTTATTATTATTTTTTTTCTTCTTCTCTCGTTTCCAATCGTCGCAGTTATTTGCAATACATTTTTCATAGAGACGTTACTAAAAGCAACGGAAAATTGAGAATTTTTTTTTCTTTTTACTGTTCTCTCTCACATATAAAGTTTAAAAAATAATATCTATTTTAATTGAATAAGAAAAAGAAAAAAAAGAAAAAAAAAGAAAAGTACTTTAGTTGCACTAACAGTGTAGATCCGTACTCATACTAGATCTAGTAGGCTTCTCTCCACTATGTATGTAATTGTATTGTTAACAAATAGGGATAAATATAATTTTATAAAAAAAACAACATTCATCTTACATTAAGTTGACCGAAATAGGCTTTGTTAAACGAATTTCTACGCTTTCTTATTAAATGAAACGTTTAGCATATCTGTATGATAATCTTTTATGAATGGAGTAAAAATAATAAAAATAATATTGTACTTTTAGTCTGTTTAAACTTATGAAATTTTGAATTAAAGAAAATAGCCAATAGTTAGATGGAAAATCAAACGTATTTTCTAACGAATATTTACATTTTTCCAAAATGACGTGAAAAAATACAATTAATTAACACGTCTTGCTTCTATTTCTCATTTAATTGCTCGTAAATACTTGACATTCATAAGTCTTCATAATGATTCAAAATGTCAAGAGAATAATTTTTCTTTTTCTGATTTTATTAGAAATATTAGATTAGTGGGAAAGAGCGAATTTTCGAATGATTTCTCCGATAGAATAAAACAAATTCATCTATTTGTTTTCAAAATTAGATTCAATTAATATTCGAGAATAAGAATAGATACAATAATAGTAGTCTGTTCGTTAACAGTAACTGCTTTATGATGCACGATATTAAGGGCACCTCTCCCTCCCTCCCCCCTCCCCCCCATTTTCCCCTTTTACAGAATTGAGAAGAGTCAGATGCCTTAAAAATTTTACTAGAAACACGAAATCGATGTATTTTTACTCAAAATTTCAAAAAGATATTATTTGCTACAACAATTCATTGCAGCCGATAGGGCTGGAACGTTTAGTTGAAATATACTCCTCGAAATATCTCTAAAATTAATTTGGAGTTATAGAAAAGAAAACTTTTCAAGCGGGGTCGGTCATAATGTACCGAGATTGAATTGAATAAAGAAGTGATTTTCTTGTAGCTTTTAGGACGATGTTTCTATCCATTCGAGATCACATCAGAAAAATCTTAGAAACATTTCATTTTAAAAAGATTTTGTTGTGAAAGAAAAGAAACAATTCATAAAACTGAAAAAGTAGAACATTTTATTTTTTAGTAGAAAATTAAAAAAATCATGTTTTTTTTTTTTTAATAAAACTTTCTAGAGAGTTTGGAGTGTTATCATTTTGTAGTTCATGAGTACTTTTCTCCTCTCTTCGGGCATGTTTAACTAAAAATTGGAAATTTGAGCAAAAATATAGTGGTATCCTCTACTACGTAGGAGTTGAAGAATAACAGAAATACAACTGATTTACGCACAATATATGATGTAGGGAAAAAAACACAACAGAAAATGGTGGCTAATTTTCAATATTGATTAAATTGACCTATATTTCTTGCACGCACATAAACATGCAATTTTATCTCGATCTTTTTCCTTTCTCTTACGTAGGATGTCTACAGAGACTAAAAGACTGTTTTTGTTCTTAAAAAAGAAAGAACGTTAAAAAACTAAAATTTATTGTCCCAAACATACAAAGACTTTGACTATATTAAATTGGTCGCTCCATTGAATTTCAATCGATATTACAGTAACTTTCTCTGCACAGTACACATCTCATTTGAAAGGGCGTAAAAGTGAATGTCTTTCATAAACGTTTCAGAATGATAACGCGATGTCGGAGAGAAAGCACTCAATATTTTCAATCTTCTCCATAACAAAAATAAAATAAAATATTCAAGTTTTTGTCAGAAGTTTTACTTGAAAGTACTGCTAAAGTAGTATGTGAAAGAAAACTTAACAATTAGTATATGGAGTGAACTAGAGTTTCCAAACAATCTAAAATATGAAAAAATAGCCTTTTTTCTAATGGATTTTTCTACATAAAGATAAGAGTTTAAATCCAATTGAAAATAATGTGTTATAATCAACATTTATCGATTGGTATATTTTTTTATCGGTTCAAAGTAGCTTAGGCGATACGTTGAACGGATAAAAATCACTGCAGAACGAAATTTAAGGGCTGTTTTCGCAAAAATAACGATTCTTACTAACTTTGAGTTGGGTATCTGTGAAAAAAATTTGGCTCCTTATGAGTTAACGTCCTTAATTATATTTTCGGGTTTTCAGTAAAATGTATACACCTAATACTATCACTGATAAAAAATTTGAAGAACATCTTTTTCAAGAAATTCGTATGAAAAGTCTGGTGTATTTCAAAGACTTGATGACTTTTTAAGCGTTTTTCTCCTAAACAAATATCAGATTTGTGATCTGTACGATAAATTTTTCATCAAATAATGCCATATTTCACAAAATATTTCTCAAATAAAAAAAATTTATGAAAAATTATCAGCCTGTAGTGTCTCTCAGACTTTTTTTGCGCTTAACGCTTAGTTTTTGCTGTATATTATCGTCACTGATTTTAGCCAGTTATACTACATTGATTCAAAACATGTTTTTTCTAAAAAAACATCCGAGAAACACTCGAAACTGACAATTTTCGATGAAGTGTTTTACTGGAGAAATATTTTGTTTAATGTGTAAGTTGAGGCGGTTTATCGCATTGATCACACAAATCTGACGTTTGTTTAGAAGAAAAACGCTTGAAACGTCATCAGGTCATTGAAAGACGCCTCAAAAATCAGCTAGGCTGGTCATGGTAAAAGATCAATTTATTTTCATTAGAGATGTGCAGTTTTCTTAAGGGAGGGCCCCCATTTCGTTTTTTCTATCAATTTGTAGAGGACACTTTAGGAGTATATGTTCCAACAATTTTTCGATTCCCGGACTTTTAGTTTATAATAAAAAAAAGTTTAAACTTTTTTTGGGTTTTTTGCCCCATTTTTAAGAATTCAATAAAAAAAACTTCAGTTTTTTATGAAAAGAGTTGATTTTTGCGTAGTTCGATAGAGAATATTAAATTGTATGAGGCGAAAAAGTTTTCATCGTTTCAGAATGAAGTTTAACTTTCTCCTTCGCGATAGAATTTTAGACTTAAAAGTATTTTGGAAAAACCCATTAGACTAGTTTCGCTCGAAGCAAGCATTCTTTTTGAGTACACACGTTGTGCAGTATCGAATTTCGGAGTTCCTCACCGGAGCTTTTCTCAAAATTTCCGTTTTTTGATTTTAAAATTAAATTTTACGGTTAAATGTTAAAATTTCGTATTTTTCAATTTAAAAGTCAAAAAACAAAAATTTTGAAAGAAGCTCTCGTGAGCGACTGCGAAATTCGTACTCAGAGTTTTCTCCAAAATGCTTGCTTACTTCGAGCAAAACTAGCCGTAAGGTATTATGAAAAAACCTTCTCTCGGCCAAAAATTAGCGAAATTTTTGTCTAGTAGTTTGTGTGGTATAAAAACTTGGTTCTTGCACAGATAGACAGCGAAATGTGTGGAGAATATTTAGTACGAGGAAAAACAGCGTAAACATTTTTCTTTCTTTCTTCCTGTTATTGACTAATTAGCGTTAATTAACGTTAATTTATGCTACTCTACTCTCTTAAAGTCCTATTTGTATAATAAGGACTTCACGAATAAATTCAAACGATACCGTATCTGATAGAAAGAGAGTTTCATAGACTACAAAACAGGCGGCCTTAAAATCTTTAAAATTGATTTTGGGCTGTTCATTAAGTCTGGTTTTGTTACACTGAGGAATTAATCAAACTTTTTGACCGCATATTTTGAAAACAAAGATCATGTTGAGATTTTCAGTGGGATGCAAACAGACTTCTAGGTCGCCTATCTTGTAGTCCATGAAACTCTCTATCAGATATGGTATTGTTTGAATTTATTTGTTGAGTCCTTATTTTATAAATAGAACTTTAAGAGAGTAGAGCACTATGAATTAACATTAATCAGCACTGATTAGCCAATAACAGAAAAGAAAGGGAACAAATTTTTACATTTTTTTTAATATACTGAATAATCTTCACACATTTCTCTTTTGACTTACGCAAGGTCAAGTTTTCATTATGAACAGAGAACGAGCAAGAATAAAAATAGTCCCAAACTGGAAAATTTAACAAAATTGTCCAAGTAATTAAAGTTTTCTTCAGCCAAAGATGTCTGTAAGCCAAAAAAGCTTCAGGATATATAATTTGAAGTATCCCTACAAACTGAGACGGTCTAAAGGAACTCTAAATGAAGGATCCCTCCTAATAAACGAAATAAATCTTTAAAATCTCCTAGACCAATCTTTGTATAGTTGTCTTAGCCTTTACACACTGGAATGTGATCAAAACAAATTGAACTGTTGAGGAGAAAAATGTATCTCATTGTACGATACTAGTGTTAGAACTTCGAATAAGAGAATACGCTGTGTATTCATTTTTGCACTTCAGGACTTGTCGATACGAATGGATCGAAGTGATAGAAGTAAGCATCGAGTTTTTTTAATGAAGTCTGTTTTCCACGTCGGACACTTTTCATCTTTATCCGTTCTTTCCTACTAAGAAATAGTGAGCAAAAAACTTCACCCAATCACACATTAAAATTTGTTTTACGTTTTTCTCCATGTCACCCTACTCCAAAAAAATTTTAGATTTATCACTGTTTGTAGGAAGATACTTCTAACTTTCCATTGGAAGGTCACATAAAAACTCACTACGTCTTACTTTGAAGAGCAGAGATCTCTCTACGTATTCAAAAGAAAAAGAATCTGTTTCTTCTGTCTTTGAAAAATGTTTTCTTAAAACCTTGCAGAAACCTGTCATAGTGTGAAAAGTGCATTTTGGGTTGAAATAGACAGTATTCCATGTTAAGATTCGAAGTGAAACGTTTGCAGAATACACAAGTTGAATGTTATAGAAAAATCATTGAATATTTATAGATGGTACAACAATGACAGATGAAACTTTATGTGTCAGACTTTTAGGTGGCGATAGACGCCGCTGATATGCATGGCAAAATACTTCACTTTTTTGAAGTCAAATTCCTGATGATGAGAGTGCTCTTTCATGTCACTTTTTATCGACTATGTCCAAAATGTGTCGAAATACAAGACAAGTTATTATTAAATTGTACTTATTTTCATATTGATCTATTACTCTTAAAAATGGTAGATTTTTTTTTCTTCTAGATATTTGAATGAACAACATTTATCAAAAATGGCCTTTTCTTCTTCCAATCATCATTTTTCAACACAAGTCAAACCTACTCATCTACGTCAACGTCGTACAATAAGTGTTCAAATATTATCATCAATTGATGATGAACGCTATCGAAACTACTATCGTTACGATGTTCCAATTCATTCATGTCGCGATTCATTATTTAGTTCAAATCGTTGGCCATCAACTGATTATCATGGATTTTTAAATTTATGTATCGTTTTATTAGTAATGTCAAGTGGTCGATTAGTATTAGAAAATTTGATTAAATATGGTCTATTAATTGATGGTTTAAGTTTATTTCATTCTCTATTTGCTGAACCACATAAATGGCCTGGTCTCTCACTTGGACTATGTGTAAATATATTTGTTTTAATTGCCTATCAACTTGAACTTATTCTTAGCCGTTTAACAGTAAAATCACGATTTGAAAAATATTTATATGTCTTACACGTAATAAATTTAATTCAAATGCTTATTGTTCCAGCTATATGTGTTTGGTATTTCAAACCAAATCCATTGAGTTCATTTATTGCTTTAATGATTTATACAATTGTATTTATGAAGTTAATATCTTACATACATATTAATTATATATGTAGAGAGGCTCTACCAAATTTAAAACTTCTATTAAAAAGACATAGAAGTCATCATGATCTAACATCTTTAGTAACTAATGGACATTATGATACATCCACAACAACGGAAGAAGACGAAGAAGAAGAAGATAATGAAATGTCAGATCAAATATTATGTGAAACATCATTTAGACATCAAAGGTAAAATAAAAAATTTTTTTTAAATATATAAAATTGAAAACTCTATACAATGACACAAATTAAAATTTATTTTTTATTTTAATTTTAGTCCTTTATCAAAAATGACAAAAAAAAAGAAATTAATAAAAGGAAATCACTTAAAATCGACAAAATATTTGTCTTTATATAATTTAAACGAGTCATTAGTCGATTTTTATCCATTAAATTTAACATTATCTAATTTATATTATTTTCTTGTTATTCCTACATTATGTTATGAATTAAAATTTCCAAAAACTCGTCGTATTCGAAAACGTTTTCTTATTCGTCGTACATTAGAAGTGATATTTTTTGCCATGTTAAACATTCTTCTTATTCAACAATGGATAATGCCCATTTTACGTAATTCACATCAGCCATTTCGAGATTTAGATTATTTACGTTTAATAGAACGTTTACTCAAATTAGCCGTTCCAAATAATATCGTATGGTTAATATTTTTCTATTGGTAAGTGTCATGATGTTATATCATTGTGACAGAGAATTTTCACATCTTTGAAAGATAAAAACTAGATTTTTCTTTCATTTTTTTTTTACTTGTCTATCACAGGTATTTTCATTCTGTATTAAATTTGATTGGTGAACTGACATATTTTGGTGATAGAGAATTTTATCGTGATTGGTGGAATGCATCTCAAGTGGGTGTATTTTGGAAAAATTGGAATGTACCTGTTCATAATTTTGCTTCAAGACATTTATTTAAACCATTATTAAGAATGGGTGTTGCAAAATTTCATTCAGCCTGTATCGTCTTTTTTATATCGGCATTTTTTCATGAATATTTGGTTAGTGTACCATTAGGAATGTTTCGTCTTTGGGCATTTAGTGGCATGATTTTACAGTTACCATTTGCTTTTGCCGTTAATCATTATTTGAAAGATAAACCAAGATTAGGAAATATAGCTGTTTGGTTATCATTAATTATTGGACAACCAATAGCGATTATGATGTATTTACACGATTATTATTATGACTATTATCGAAATACCATTCAAAACTAGATTTGAAAAAAAGGATAAATGTTGAATATGTACCATGTGAAATTATAGATGATTACTGTTCACTGAGGAATAATTAGTATAAAAAAAAAAAATTTCTAATCTTTTCTTTGCTTTTTACTGCTTATAACTGATGAATATGTGTTCTCCTCTACATTTCTCTACACAATTTTCTACTATAATAAACACTTCAGTTCTTTTTTTTTTAATAGATCTAGTCAGAACTATGACGTATGTTTTTGTGACGAAGTAAACCGATTTTTTTTTCTTCAGGATTTTTCTGTTTCTGTATTCTTGTTTTTCTTCCATGTTAAATGATATGACACAACCCAAAATGTTCGGACTGTGTGTATGTGTGTGTGAGAGAGAGATAATTTGAATTATTTTGTACTATATATTTTTGCTTTATATTTACTAGTCTGTTAGAAAAAAAAAACTAAAAAAACACGGTATGCCTTCTTCATTCAATTATATTCCCAATTCAGAAGCCATGTTGTCTGATAGAAAGTTGACTTAAAATTTTGTTCTATTTATTATTTACATCCTCCGTACACTCCTATCGGTTTTTTTTGGGAGTCTAATTGTTCAAGGTTGTCATTTTTTTTATATGCGTGTTGTTTTTTTGAAATTTTTTTTTTTCTACTATTGTATACGGATATAACTTGTTTGTTGATGTTGTTATAATGATTTTTCTAAGATGTCAACATTTTTTTTCTTTTTTTTTGATAGATGATACTTTGAAAATAGGGATATTTCCGAATATAACTTCATGTAAAACACAAAAATGAGTAACAAATGAAAAATTCGACTACATTTTGTCTATTACAAATGAGCAGAAATTCTAAAACCAACGAGAAAAAGTGTTATGATAATAAGTCTCGTACTTATTATTTTTAATTTTTGTCCATAATCGATGTAAAAGTCTGCTATTAGTAACACTCTAAGTGTGTAAATTCTTCTGAGTAACATTATATGTAGAAAAATCCATTGTACGTTTTCGTTTTATGTTATTATTCGAAAATCGTTTATCATGTGTTTATAAACAAAGAGACACTTCTTTTTTGTAAGATTCTTCTTTTCAGTTTTTTTTTCCAAGTTTAAACTATTTGTTTTTTTTACGGGCAGTCTATTTTTCATTGTTTATTTTTCATTGAAAATTCTTCAAAATCAAATTATTTCGTCAAATGTCAATGCTTGCTTGTTTACATAAGAACTGGCGGTATTCAATGGATATATAATGAACTTTTAGTTTATTGCACAGTTGTATCTGATTGAGTTCTACCGTTATAATCTATCGGTACTATACCGTTGCTCATTCGATTTTTAGCCAAAAATCGCTCGTTTAAGTATACTAACGGACCTATAGTACAGTAGCGGCTAGTACTTTAAACTATGAATCCAACGTTTCCAGTTCAAATCTGAATAGGTTCTTAAGTATATTTTGATCTTTCAGAAAAATTATTAATTTCAACTTCAAATTCTACCGCTAATGTTGATATAATCTTTTTATTTTGGGAAGAACAAAAAACCAAGAACATCTTTAAAAAGTAAAATCGAGATATCCAATGGATTCCATTGTATTTCTTGAGTAGCGTTTTGTGAAACAGGCAACATGTAAGAAAAAACACCCGTAAATCTCCTCGTAAGAGTCGTACATCTATGTCTGATCTTAATGACTTAACTTTTATCCTCAAGTTTTGAAAATAATTGTTTGCGAGTTTGTTCATTCTTTAAACATTTAATGAAAATGTTTCGAGTTTTCAATAATTTGTTTGTTGTAAGAGATAAACACAATTCACATATATTTTTAGAGACGAGATTATTATGTTGTTTGAATTGAAATCTTTAGGCAGAAAAATTTATTCGCAAGCGAAAAAATAGAACATCATTATCCGTTCGGGTTAGTGTGCAAGGCAACTTATTTGGATAAGTAAAAAAATTGTTTTGTAATGATATTTCGTTTTTTTTTGTATATGCAGATTTTTGGTGAGTGTTTAGTCGAGAATTTTTCTGAATGAGAGAAAAACATTCTTTAATTTCAGTGTGCATCACTCTAACCAACGCGTTACGACGCCAAGAGTCTAGGAAAAAATTTCTCGATGGTATCGTCTCAAAAAATATATATTTACAGTAATTTTTCGCCTTAATGACTTTTTCGTATTTTAAAATGCTCATTAACATCATTTATAGCCGCCGAATTGACAGCTCCTGTAGGTAGGCTTCAATCGTCTACAAGGATGAGAATGATCTAAAATATTCGAGACAAATGTATGTTGTATATGGTGAAAATGTCCTATATTAGGAAAGTTTCATCAAAATTTTGATTATTAGTAGCATTTTGATCAAAACTAAAACGTATCTTTGGACTCACGATAAAACTGATTTTCAAAATTTATTAGCGGTGATATACGTCGTTGTAGCCGTAAGTTTTAGCTTCAATTTAAAAATCCTTCAAACCTTTGGGCATCTTTTTGCACAACGAATTTTGAAAAATAGGAACAACATGAGTGAAAGGAAAACGACTTTGAAAGAAAGCGATGAGCATTTCGAAACTTGTAGGAAAATGCGTAACAATTTTTAACGAAAAATCGCACAGAATTGCACCATGTCTTGTTTTTTTATAAGAAAAATTCGCAAATCGACTTTGTTCAGGAAACGTTTAAATTGCATAAGTATTAAAGAAAAACTGGCATTTGAAGATTTGGTTTCCAAAGATTGTAAAACTATAATCGTTAGAACAGAAAAAAGCTAGAGATTGTGAAGAGAAGACAGACACAGCGTAAATTGGATGTAGTTCGATGAAAAAACGTCGAGGAGAGTTCGGCGACGACTAGTTTTGTTCAGAAATGTTTGCTCTACACGAATGAGCTATTTAAAAAAAAGTTTTGGGTTGGAATCGCGGGACTTGACGTTTTTTAGTTTTCTAAAATCTTGGTTTTCCAGGGACCTGGTTTGCAGGAATTTTCATATACACCTCGTCTGATTATAAACTCTTTCAGTTGTTCAAATCTTTTTTCACATTTGTTCTAGCCATTATGGTCGAGGAGAAAAATTAAAAATAAAGGTGGGCGCTCAATTTTGGCCACCACTGTATATATAAATAGGTGTAAATATAAAGTGAACAAGAACTTTAAATGTCAATATTTATTTGAAAAAACCAGAAATTTTAATGAAATGTTGACATTAGAAGTTGTTGTTCATCTCGTATTACTCTACGTTTGTTCTTGTCTTACTCAGTCTAATAGGATATGGTTAATAAGTCATTTTATGCTTACTATCAGATTCGACCAATGGTAATTATTTTTCTTCTGTTTATTAAACTCTATTTTTACCAACACAATTTCTGTCTTTTTTTACTATTGTTAAACGGCCTTATTTTGCACCATGAGATTCTACTCCATTCTATTTCAATCTTTATTCATAATTATTTATTCATTCTAATATGAGGACTATCATACCAAATTCTTGTGTTCTAAGGTGTTGAAATGACGTCCTTGAGTACACATTTAAACTATGATCCTCTAACGATAAGCTTTTGGTTGTGCAATAAACCTTATGAATATTGATGATATAAGTTGATTAATTAAACATTATTCATATATATTTTTAGGAGTACTATCAGTGACATCATCGACAACTTAAAATGAGACATACATTAATTTAAATTATGAGCAATTAATTATTTTCGAGTAACAAATGCAATATTCAAGCTTAGATAAACAAAGCTGAATTTTAAAAATTTTCTTACTCGAAAAGTTTTTTTCAAAGGGTAAAACAGACATATTCTTGTTCAGCTCGACCAGCTCTATCCAACCATGTGTAAATATCGCCCAAAACAATTTTCACTTGAATTTTGAATTTCCATCACCTTACAATTTCAGTTTTGAGATCACCAGACGTAATGGTAAAGAACTAAGGACATTTCAGAGAAGTGTCTACGGTCCGAAAACCACAAAAGGTAGAGAGGTCGGATTTGTGGAGGATTGCAGAGAGCGCTTTGTGCTGTCTGGTCGCTGTATTAAAACTAAAAATTAATTAATACTTCATAGTTTTGTAACCTCATCTATTCTACTGATCAAGTGTGCCACAAGATTATTCTTGAATTTCATGTGAAAACATAGAGAAAAGCCTTCTCTATCGAGTGCTGAAAATCCGAGCTGTCCGGCGCTTTTTATTGTCGTGTACTTCAAAAACATCCATGATCACTACTGTCTGTACCAAAATAGAATGGACTCTGTTGTTTTTTTAATAACTTTTGATAGAGGCCAGCTAGAGAGCTCCGGCTTTCGCCATGCGAAAGAGGAGAACCTGAGACATGTTTTCATACGTAGGAACTTTTTTAGATATTTTCTGAAACACAAGTTTTCGTAAAACTGCCGTTGCCTGGGCCGACAAATCCAGATTATGCTATCGACTCAAAATCGGCATTATCGTCTGTTCGAGAGTATGGTAGTTACTATAAGAGCCGAAGAAGTAATGAAGATAAGCAACCTTTCTCTTACAGTATCTTTTTGCTATAGTACTTAGGGCATACCAAAAGTAGTGGCAGTGGTATTTTTATCCCTTATAGAAAGGTTAAAGAAACTTTCTTTTTATATAGTCTGATAGAGAAAAGAATGTTCTATTTTTCTATGCTATTTGAT